TGGGGGACCCGGGAGGCCACGTGTCCTTCCCCACAGCTCCTCCCACGCAGGTGGGGGACCCGGGAGGCCTCGTGTCCTTCCCCAGCACAGTAGCACTTGAGGCTCCAGTCTCAGGAATGGAATCCTAAAGGTGAAGCTCTCAGGAGCCACAGGTGAGTGCCATGCATTTTGGGAACTCTGGCTGACCCATCCCCGGCACAGCCACACCCACCGAGGGAAGCAGCAGCGACAGGAAACCGAAGGCCAGCATGGACCCAGCCCAGCAGCAGCCTCCGCTTTCACTCCGCCCTGGTGGACAGAAGGCCGCAGTGGCTCTGTCGCCTTCAGGAGCTCCGCCAAGGTTTCCCTTCCACACCACAGAGGCCCCACTGGTGGGCACGGTGTGAAAGGCGCTGCCCAGCCCCCAAGGCCCCCGGGTCAGGCCATCGACGCCCCTCCCACACGCATCCCCTTGCCCTGGCAGCCCATGCCTGTGCCACGTCCCACAGACACAGAGTGGCCACTCGCATGCCAGCGTCCCAAAACCACACTGCTCCGAAACCTGTCCTGGCTCCGAAACGGGCCACACGTCCAGGGAGGTGAGGAGGGTCCAAGACGGCCCCTCCTGGCTCTGTGGGCCACCCCCTCGGTCAAACGAGAGGCAGCCCAACCCTAAGCTCTGAGTCCCCTCACAGGGAAGAAGCCAGCCTTGCTCCACGCATTCTGAAAAGGGGACTGGCACCTGCAGATGTTATCTCTGTTTGTGGCTCTGGTGGCCTGGGAGCCGGGGGCACCCCGGGAGGCGCTCAGGGGAGACGCGGCAGCCCCCTAGGCGTCCACACTCCTGGACATTCAGAGCAGCTGGCCCCATAGTGGGCAGTGGGCTCTTGGCATCTGAGGAGAAGGGGAGCCAGTTCTTCTGCAACAGCGAGGGATGAGACCTACCCCGTGTTCCCAAGAGCCCCGGCCTCGGCAGCGTCTAGAGAATCAGGCCCCACCCCATGAAGGTTTGCCCCGCTCCCCAGGGTCCAGGGCCACGGTGGGATAAGTCACCCTCCCTCCTCTGGCCTGCCAGGAGGGACCAACCCCAGCATGGCCCTCAGAGGCTGAGTGGTGGCATGCTCTGCAGTGGGAGGGTCTGCGTGCTCTGGGGCACAGGGTGACTTGGAGTCCCACAGCCCCTCCACCTGCAGGCCTTGGAGGCGTTACCCATCAAGCCAGAACAGCATCGCCCAGGAGCAAGACCCTGGGACGTGAGTCTGTGCCCGCTCCCAGGCCCCGCACAACAACTCCCAGGCCAGGCCGCCTCCTACCTTCTCTCCACGGGCTCGGAAGGGTCCTCTGGCCACAATCATCTCATACAAGGTGACCCCCAGGGCAAAGTAGTCCACGGAGAAGTCATACTCCTCACCCCGCAGGAGCTCGGGGGCCATGAAACCTGCCAGCAAGGGACATTGTGGGTTCAGAGGCGGCCACGTCCCCAGGGGACACTCGCCCCGGCCATTGCAGGGACATTGTGGGTTCAGAGGTGGCCACGTCCCCAGTGGACACTCGCCCCGGCCACTGCAGGGACATTGTGGGTTCAGAGGCGGCCACGTCCCTGGCGGATGCTTGTCCTGGCCACTGCAGGGACATTGTGGGTTCAGAGGCGGCCACGTCCCTGGCGGGTGCTTGTCCCGGCCATCTCAGAACTGATGCTCCCAGGATACGTCCCCCAGGGCCCCAGCACTCTCCACATTTGGGGCCAGAAAGTTTTCTGTTGCTGGGCTGTCCTGTGCGTTACCAGGCACCAAGCAGCACCCCAGGTTCTGCCCACCGGGTGACAGCAGCACCCACCCCAGGCTGTAACAACCAAAAATGCTTCGTGCCCACTGTAGGTGCGGCGCACAGGGTGAGGCTTGTGGGCTGTGGCCCCGCAGAGGCAGCCTTCCTGGACTCTTTTACTCGGGAGAATCCAACATCATTATATTTTGAATTTTCCTCTCCAGCTGGTCAGATTATGCAAAGGCAGGTCCTACATATTCTCAGAACCAAGTTGGAGAAGAGGCCTGGGGAGCCTCAGCCACCGGTTTCTCCCCTTCCTGAGCTGCTGGCCTGTTCCCCAGTTGTTCAGTGTCCCAGGAGAGCTCTGGGTGTGTCCTCTCCAGAGAGGCGGCTCTAGTCTGCTGCCAGGAAGGCTCTTAGCTGAAGGGACTGTTGGAATGGAAAGATAGCTCTGGGCGCAGCTGTGAGGACCATCTCGGGACGGAGAGACAGCTCTGGGCGCAGCTGTGAGGATCATCTCGGGACGGAGAGACGGCTCTGGGCGCAGCTGTGAGGACCATCTCGGGATGGAGAGACGGCTCTGGGCGCAGCTGTGAGGACCATCTCGGGATGGAGAGATGGCTCTGGGCGCAGCTGTGAGGACCATCTCGGGACGGAGGGACGGCTCTGGGCGCAGCTGTGAGGATCATCTCGGGACGGAGGGACGGCTCTGGGCGCAGCTGTGAGGGACGGCTCTGGGTGCAGCTGCTCTCACACAGTCATTCATCTACCAAGGCGACCTTTGCACAGACACCAGGGTGCCAGGCACTGACAGTTCTGTGCCACTGAGGGCTCTGGCAGCAGCTTAGCCTTCTGCTTCCTGTGTCGGCCGCTGACTCCCCTCACCCGTCGGTCTTCCAGCTGCCATGACACTGCTGCTCACGCTCTCCTTTGAGCACGTGGGTTTGCACTTTTGGCGAGATCCCTTCACTGCCCCATCCCAGGACTTCAGGAGGGAAAGCAAATCTCATGTGTGTTCAGCCGCCAACTTTGTTCGCAGAGTATCTGAGTTCGCAACACCTTACTAAATTCAAAACACACTTTCCACTCCCCGCTGGGGGCTCTGGCTCCACCAGCTGATCAGGGAGCGAAGGAGCCGCAGCCTTGCTAACGCGTCTGTTGGGGTCTTATTAACATAGAGGCAGTTCTCTGGCGGTCAGGACTTCCATACCCACAAACATCCCTGCTCTAGGTTCGTGCCTGGAAGCCAGGTCAGGCGCACACGTGTCTAGTTCTCTCCCTAGTCCCACAGTCTCGCCGTGAGTCCTCTGCACCCTAAAAGGCGCCTCCCCTCACCGCGGCCTGACTCTGAGGCATCCAGGCACCTCTCGAGGGCTGGAGGGACGGCTGCTCCTTACAGAGAAGATGGAATCCAGTGTGGGCTGCAGCCTCCAGGACGCCGCAGTGCTCAGGCTGGCATGGGGTCCTCTCCTCTCCTCCCACCTCTGCCTGAGGCTTGCACACCTGCTGGGCCTTGTCCACCTCTTATGGCTCCCTGCAGACCCTGCCAGCCAGGCTGCAACCTCCCCGACCCTTTCGCTGCCTCCAGGGCATCCCTCCTTCTTGATAGGGATGAAGTTCAAGACCATAGCCACATGCTGAGGCTTCCCTCCCCTTGTAAGCAAGCTTCCCCTCCAGAGCAGAAACCACAGATCATGCCGCCTCTGCCCAGGTACTTCCCTGGTCCAGCCCCAGGCCTTCTCCACTGAGCTGGGGCATCTCTGAGCAATGGCCACAGACTCTCCGAGCCCTGCCACGATGCCACCATGGTGATGAGCACAGCACTTGTTCCAGCCTGCCCTGAGGGCTGGGCACAGCAGCTCACTATATGCCATGAGCTCACCATGGGTACTGACGCCCAGCCCACGGACGGGGATGTGCAGCAACTTGTCCAAGGCCACAGCCCAGAGCTCAGTCCACAGGCCACAGTCCACAGTCCACAGCCCACAGCCCAGGCCACAGGCCACAGGCCAGTGCCAACAGTCCACAGTCCACATCCCACAGCCCACTACCCACAGTCCACAAGCCACAGCCATGGCCCACGGCCTACAGCCCATAGCCCACAGCCCACAGGCCACTGTCCACAGGCAACAGCCCACAGCTCACTGCCCATAGGCCACAACCCACAGTCCCCAGGCCACAGCCCACAGCCCACTGCCCACAGTCCACAAGCCACAGCCATGGCCCATGGCCTACAGCCCATAGCCCACAGCCCACAGGCCACTGTCCCCAAGCCACAGCCCACAGCTCACTGACCACAGTCCACAGCCCATAGCCATGGCCCACAGCCCACTGCCCACAGTCTACAAGCCACAACCATGGCCCATGGCCTACAGCCCATAGCCCACAGCCCACAGGCCACTGTCCCCAGGCCACAGCCCACAGCTCACTGACCACAGTCCACAACCCATAGCCATGGCCCATGGCCCACAGCCCACAGGCCACAGCCCACTGCCCACAGTCTACAAGCCACAACCATAGCCCATGGCCTACAGCCCATAGCCCACAGTCCACAACCCACAGCCATGGCCCATGGCCCACAGCCCACTGCCCACAGCACACAGGCCATGGGCCTTCTCCCTGAGCACTCTGCCCTCTTGTCTCCAGTGGCTGCAGCGACGAGCTCTAGGCCCTCCCTCCAGACACGGCTACATGCTCACCAGACACCGTCCTTGGCAGATGTCTGCTCTCGTAAGTCAGACTCCAGGAGAAGTTCAGGCGCCTGCCTGCCACCCACCCGAGCCAGCTCTGTGTGGCACATGGGGCATGCATGAGCCATGTCGGTTCCCCAGCTGCCACCCAAGTGAGGCCAGCCAGGCACAGAGTGGTGGGCAGGCCAGTCTGACAGCCCATGACTGGCGTCCTTGGACTGGGTAGTGGCTGCAGGCTGGGGCGTGGGGGCTCCTGGGGCTGGTCAGTTTTGACACTTCTGAGTCAAGGTCCTTCCTGGTCCCTCATTGTGCCCCAGGGCCAGGCTGATGTGGCCACAGAATCCTTTTTCCCCAGAAATGTCGCAGGAACCATCTTCCACAGAGCTGCAGGCCCTGACTATGCCCAGCTAGTCTGGGACATCGGAATTCTGCGCAGACTCCAGGGAGGAACTGCTCATACGATCACAATTTCCAGACAACCCAGAGCCGCTCACACGACCACAACACCCAGACAACCC